TCCTCCTCCTCCTCCTCTTCCTCCACCTCGTCCTCCTCCTCATCCGCCTCCTCCTCTTAGTATTCGTCGTGCTCGTATTATCAGCCTTATTGGCATGATTAGTAGAAATAAAGATGGATATTAGCAATACTATCATTCGTATGATTAGTAGCATTGGTATTCGGATTATTAATATTAATAGTAGTCTTGGTAGTATATGTAATACCCGTAGTACTCATATTATTAATAGTACTACTAGTTTCATATGTAGCATCAGTCGTTTTATTATTTGGTTCCAAAATACCATTATTAACACTAATCGTAGTAGTAGCATTCGGATTAGCATGCTTACTATTATTATGACGATTAATAAGCATAATATGCGTCGTCTGATTCTTTGTACCATGCGTAAAAGTATGCATCGTCGTATTCTTAGTGGTGTTATTATTAGTTTTAGTAGTCTTAGTCGTATTATTCTCTGTAGCATTATTATTATGAGTAGTACTAGAATTACTAGTATCAGGATTATTAGTAGTGCTCGTCGTCTTAGTCTTCTTAGTCGCAGTCTGCTTAGAATTACTATTATTATGATTGGTATTATTCGTCTGCGTCTTCTGCTTCCTCCTCCTCCTCCTCCCTTGTCCTCCTCCTCCTCCTCCTCCTCCTCTTGTTGGTATTAGTAGTCTTGGTCGTATCATTCCTCCTCCTCCTCCTCCTTCTTCTCCTCCTCCACCCCCGTCTCCTCCTCCTACTCCTACTCATACTCCTACTCCTACTCCTCCCTCCTCCTCCACCTCCTCCTCCTCCGTAGCCATTTGGCTCAAGGCTGATGGAATTGGAGGCTCGAGAAGCAGAAGGGGGTGTGCGCGGTCTGCAACACACCTCAGCCAGGATGGAGCACCACTGCGAGCGGCACGTGGTGTTCGCCGTGGTCCTCGGGCGGTGGGTGGCATGAGCACGGGCAGTCTCAGCCGTCTCTCGCCAACCTCGGGGACTACCTGTCGAAGGCTCTCGCGGGTGCTGGGCTCGCTGGGGACCCCGACGCGACGCGCCTGGCGACAGAGTTCAGCACCCTGGCGTCCCAGGAGCTCGCGGCGGCTCCTGCGCCGCCCAAGCCCCCGCATGCGCAGCTCAAGGAGGCTACGGCAGATTGCTCGCGCAAACAGGAGGCACTGGAGAGGGCTGCCAAGACGCTGGAGCAGGCTCGCCTCCAGCTCGAGAAGGCCCAGTCCAAGTTCGACGAGACCGCCGACGCGGTCATGGCAGCCGAGCTGCATCGCCTGGAGGTGCAGGAGGCCGCTAACCCGCCCGAGCCGGCCAAGCAGTCCTTGTTCGGGGTGGACCCCGAGCTTTTCGAGAGCCTCGATGAGTTCGAGGAGAACGACAAGCAGGCGCTCGAGCAGTTCCAGAAGCAGCTGCAGGACGTCTGCTGGAGCGCGCGCGGTCGGCGCACCAGGCGGTGGCCAAGCGGCGCAAGCGCGGCGCCGATGGCGAGGCAGCCGAAGGCGGCGCGGGTGGCACGGCTGCGGCCAACTCTGGTGCCCCCGCGACGCCTGGCGCCGCTGCTGCCGCCGCTGGGCCCAGCAAGTCGAAGGTCGTGGTGCAGGAGGACAACCAGAAGGCCATGCTCGAGCGCATGAAGGCCAGCGCTCAGTCGCAGGCACGCGAGGCCGCTGCTAGCAAGGCCGCTGGCCATGGCAAAGGCGGCGCTGCGGGCTCTGGCAAGGGCCCTGCTGCTGCTGGTGCTGGCACGGGCCGTGTTTAGCACGGCGGCGAGCCCGTCCTGCAGGGGCGAGACTGCAAAGTACCTCTTCATGATGAGTCCGAAGACGCCTCGTCTTTGGACGTCTTCTCCGGCAACATAACGGAGTGGGGCCCGCAGGCTGCGCGTTTCTTGGCGCAGGAGCAGGAGCGCAACATCGCGGCCCTTGTTGAAACACACAAGGGAGAGAAGGACGTGCCAGACATCTGTCAGTCGATTGATAAAGACGGCTGGCGTTTGGCCTACATGGCTGCTCTCCCTTCGGGCAAGTCTGAGAGCGGCTTGTCCGGCGGCGACTGGATCCTCGCGAAGAAACGCGCGGCAACGTCGAGCTTTGAGAGTGCTCGGCAGTCGGCGCGTGCTGCTGGGCGTCTGGACCCCCGCCGCGGGTTCGCGCCGACGGCGATCCACACCAAGGGCGGCAACTTGGTCCTGATCGCCGCCAACCTTCAGCCAGGCCTCGGCGTGAAGGGCTGGAACAACGACGTCTTGGTGGCGTGTGGGGCGTTCACGCGAGCGCTGGCAGATCCGTGGCTGGTCATGGCGGACTGGAACGTCGAGCCCGCGGCCTTCCGGGACACCGGCTGGCCCCAGAAGCTCGGCTCCGTCGTGGTGACGCCCAGCTGCCGCACGACGTGCGACGAGGGGCCTGGCCGTATGTATGATTATGGGCTCGCTGGCATTGGCTGCCCAGAGCTATTAGAGCTCAAGCCAAAAGTTCGTGCCCCATGGAAGACGCATTGTGGAGTTATCGCCACGGTGAAGGCGGCTCGTACTCAACGATGGCATCGGCACCTCGCTGTGCCCAAGCCTCTTCCTGTGCGCGATCGGCCAGTGGCGGTGGCAGGTCCTCAGAGCGAGCGGTCCAAGAAGCGCTGAGGAGCAGAGGCAGCGGCGCTTACAGGCGCATTCCCATCGAGCTGCAGGAGGACGTCGGCGAGCTGGAGCCGCCGGCTTCGCAGCCTGCGCCGTCGGTGTCTCTCGCCGTCCCTGAGGACACGTGGTCTCAAGCTCAGACCCAGCTGCGCTGGGAAGGTATCCCTCAGCTTTATGATGACCAGCGAGAGGGATCTCGAGGCAAGGCTGCAGCTGCTGATCGGCAGCAACACTTTGTGTTCGAATGGCAGCCTGGTGCGCGTGCTCAGTTGGATGAGTCTTGTGGTGCTTGGATCTCTACGCTGGAGCGCGCGACCTTGATGCACGAGCAGGTGGAGGCCAGCACTTGGATGCCGTTCTCAGGTCGGGCTCGTGGCCCAGGTTGCTACTGGGCCAAGGTCACTTCTTCTCCAGGGCGTGCACACATGAAGAATGAGCAAGCTGCATGGTGGGGTGCAGTCAGCACTTTACTTCTTCGGCATGCGGCCCTGCGCGCGAGCGGGGCTGATCATGACCAGGCTGCTTACTGTGCGCGCGAGGTTCAAGCCAGGATTGGATCTTTACCTGCTGATAAGACGATGGAGTACTTCGGCAGGAAGTCCACAGCAGAGGAGATCGAGCTGTGGAATGCGATGGCTGCTGACCTGGATCGTGCTCCAGTTGGCCAGCTCCCCGTCCTGGTGGACGCCACGCGAAGTGGGCGGACTTGTCGTCGCACGGGTTGCGTTAGCTTCGCGTGCGTCTTTCATGAAGTGGGTGAAGGAGTCCTGGTCGTCGAAGCCTGGAGCTGTACACCGGCATGTACAGCAGGCTCCTCCTGTGGAGTGGGAGGGCCGTGATTCTACTGGCGCGATCACGACGGACAAGCAGACGTTACTTCAGACATCTGCTTCTGAATGGAATGCAATGTGGAGCGATCCAGTGGATAAGCCTGCAGATATGTTGCACATGATGGGCCAGTGTTTGTCAGCTGCTCGAGAGGCACCTCTTCCTCCCATCGCCATCCTGGACGTGGACGCCGCGTTGCCCTCGCTGCCCGCGAAGAAGGCGAAGGGGGTGGACGTGCTCAATCCCATAGATATTCAGCGTCAGCCGCTGGTGGCGAGGCAGAGCTTAGCTGATATGTTGAACAGTATCGAGCAGGCTGGCGCCTGGCCGTCGTCCCTCAGTTAGGTGCTTGGAGCTGCGATCCCCAAAGAAGCAGGGGGCAACAGAGTCTTGGGGTTGGTCCCGACGCCGCACAAAATATGGTCCAAGGTGCGTACGAAGTACTCAGGTGAATGGTCCTCTGCCCAATCTGCTTTCTGGGATACTGCGATTGCTGGATCGTCAGCGCTACGTGCTGCACTTATCGGAGCTGTGATGGACGAAGGCGCCAACGCTCTCTCCTTCGAGCACGCGACTCTGTTCTCGGATCTCACCAAGTTTTACGACTCGGTGTCGTTCGTGCTGCTCTTGCAGGTCGGCCTGAATATTGGACTTCCTGCTATCATTCTCTTATTGGAAGTTGGACTTTATTCGTCGCAAAGGCTGCTGAAGAAAGGCCAGATGATATCGGATGCCTTTGTGGTTTCACGTTCGATCGTAGCTGGGTCTGGGCATGGAGTCCCGCTTGCAAAGTCATGCTTCATCAGTTGTTGGATCAGGTCCATCGTGCTTGTCCTCCGACTGGCTTGTGGAGCTGCATTGATGACATCGTCGGTCGCGCAGAGGGCAAGAAGCAGCAAGTGATTGGCTACTTGGACGCCTCTGCCGATGCCATGGCCGCTGGACTCAAGAAGCTCAGACTGACGATCCCTGCCAAAACGAAATGGGTTGCCAGTTCTGATGAGATTGGTACGGAGTTACAGAGACGCCCGGTTCGCAAAGGTAGCCCTGTGCAGTTCGGGCGCTTCACTGTCGACCTTGGGCTCTGACGCTGCTGCAGGGCGACGGAGGATTGCACCGAGGATGGTTAAGCGACGCGCGCAGGCTCGACGGAGGCAACGTAAGGCCATGCGTTTGCGACAGCTTCCCAAGACCAGGCTCATCACCAAGAAGCACTACAGCACCGGAGTGCTCCCTGCAGCTGCTTTCGGCCATCAGAGTATGGGAACCCCTCCATCGTCACTGTTGGCTTTGAGGCGTGATGCTGCAGCCAGTGTTGCTGGCACCAAGCGTGGCAGGTGTTTGAATTCTGTATCGCAAGCTGTGTTTGGAGTTCCCGATCCTGGTATCGACTTGAGGAAGGAAATGATGAAGGAGTGGATCGCTCTGTGGTTATCCCAGCCGATGCTTCACCCTCGTATCCGTAAGATGTGGCCGATCACACTTGCCAAGTTGCGTCGTGGAGCTGCTGAGCGGCAGATTGTGAAGTGGAAGGACGTGCGCGGCCCCATCGACGCGGCGCAGGCCACTCTTATGCAGATTGGCTGGGATCAACATAGTCCTGATGTATGGTCACGGCCGTTACCCGATGGCACGATTGATGATTGGCTGTTCCCAGCTTTTGGTGACGAGCACTTCGCGACCGCTGTAGCCTCGCACTTTGAAGATATGCTTGGAACTTTCATGGATAATTGCGTGCAGCTGCAGTGGAAGGAGGCGGCCCACCATGAGGCTGGCGAGGATCTGGCAGCAGGTGCTGACATGAAGTCGGTGCAGATTGAGCTGAACCGCCTCGCTGCCCAGTCCAAGTTCGACGAGTGGGCCGCCGACATTGCCGTCATCTCGGGGGGCCAGTGGACTCGTGAGCGGCAGATCGCCGCAGGATACGCCTGCCCGCCGCTGTGCCCCCGATGTAAAGAGCAGCCTGAAACATTAGCCCACCGTGTTTGGCTGTGTCCAGCCAATTGCGGGCATGAAGCTTTGTCTAAAACGGAGTTGTTGATTCCCCAGGCCCTCGCGGGCCTCGAGGTCCAACCGGCGTTGTGGCTCAGGGGTGTTCCCTCGAAGGACCTCACGGTGCCCAGGTTTGTTGAGACTTCGGAGGCGGCTCAGGAGGTCCTTGGGGAGGGCTGCATTTCTGATGTTTGTTCGGAGCCTGATTTTTGTTCGGAGCCTGGAGGCCCCCCTGTTATCATCTTCGGAGATGGATCTGGAGGCCAGTACAGTTCGGATTCCAGACGTAGGCGATGCGGCTCGGCGGTGGTGATGATGTGCCAGGACCCCTCGCCGCCTAACTCTTGGGCGCCTCAATGCGGTGTGGGACAGATTCTGTCGGGCCGACGCCAGACTGTTCCTAGAGCAGAGCTGGAGGCGATCTGTCTTGCACTTGAACAGTAGAGGAAAGAGAGCTATGCACATACACCGATTCTGGCCAGGCCCACCCTGAGCCCAGGATCGGTGCATACGCCCTCCTACCTTGGCCAGGAAGGTATATGCACCGATCCTGGGTCAAGAATGGGCCTTGCCAGGATCGGTGCATGTGCATAGTTCCCTTCGCCCGAAACAGTCTCACGGTCCGATTTGTTACATAAACGACTGCAAGAGCTTGGCTTCGGATTGGCACGGTGGCCGTGCTTCCTCTCCCCGGGGCCCGAACGGGGACTTGCGGGGCCGTGCGGCTCGAGCGCTGCGAGACCGTGGCCCTGGGGATGTCTCGATGTTGTGGACTCCCTCCCGCACGGAGGACAAGTTGCAGTCGGTCACGCCGCCGTTTGAAATATGTGTGTGCCAGGGCAACGCCAGTGCCGACGCCTGTGCGGGGGTGGTGGCCCAGTGGGCCCGGGAGTGGTGCGTGGTTGCTCCCCCCCCGGACTGATCCGTGGGACACGACGGCGGCGCTGGTGAGAAAAAGGGCCAGAAGGGCGATGTTGCTGGCGCTCGAGGTTGAACCCTGGGAAGGGGTCAGAGCTCCGCCAGCGCCCAAGGTCCGCAAGCCCACAAAATTCGGCCAGGCGGTCCGCGACAGTGCGCACAAGTCTCGCCCGTTCGCTGGTCGCTGGCGCTGTGATGTAGGTAAAGCCATCGCCCCGAGGAGCCAAGTGCTCGCCGTCGCCTCGGCCCAGTGTCGCGATCTGCTCCCGCCGCCGCCGCCTGGTTCTGCGGAAGCGCTGGGGTCTGATGCCTAGGTATGGCAAGGGTTTCGACGCGACCTCGGGAGAGGCGTGGCGTGGCGCCGTGAAGCTTCGCCCCAGCCACCGCCTCGCCAGAAGGAAGAAAGTCGGCTGCACCTTCTGTCAGAGGTGTGGTCTCACAGCCACGACAGACGGTCGGTGGCTTCAGAACGTGTGTGCCCAACACACGCACACACACACACACAAAAAAAACAAGGGGGTAAGAACTCAAGCGAAGTAGAAACGGTGTGTTTCCGTTGGTTCGGGGCCCACCTGTGGCCTTGCGTGAGGCGGCGGCCCTGGATGCTGCTGCGAGAGCCCTCCCGCCGCCCCCTCGGGAAGGAACTGGGGGCGAGGGTGGTGCCGCGAGGCCAATAGAGGAGAGCCCCCTACTTGATGAGTATGTTGCCCGCTCGTCCGATCGCCCTGTCGGAGAGCTGACCGATGTGATGACGCTCAGCGAGGACGCCCCACCCATGGGCGAGGACGCGGCTGCTGTTTTTGCTGCCGCCGCCGCTCGCTTGCATGAGGAGAATGAGCTTGAGGAAGTTGCTGCCCAGCTCAGAGCCCAGGGTCAGGGGCAGACAGTGCTCGCTGGTGCTCGTGTGCAGGGGATGGGCAGCAGTGGTGATGATAGCAATGACAGCGATTGAACTGGCCACGTGTGTGGCATCGCAGCATGATCCAGCATCCTCCTCCTCCTCCTCCTCCTCCTCCTCCTCCTCCTCCTCCTCCTCCTCCTCCTCCTCCTCCTCTTCCTCCTCCTCCTCCTCCTCCTCCTCCTCCTCACTACTCCGGCCCTCCTCCCTCCTCCTCCTCCTCCTCCCCTCCTCCTCCTCATCTGCCTCCTCCTTCCTCCTCCTCTCTTCCTCCTCCCCTCTCCTCATCCTCCCTTCCCTCCTCACTCCTCCTCCTATTCCTCCTCCCCTCCTTC